TTCTTAAGCCGTATCTTTTTGGCTAATGCTTTCAGTGAAGCTTGAGTGTCTTCTAGTTCCACAGGGTTTTGATCCTATGCTCCTTCCTGAAATGGCTATTCTTTTTGGCAGTGACTGTCTTCCTCCCATCTTTTTTTGATGCTTTCTGCATCGTTCAATATCTTGCCCATAGAATCTTTCAATATTGCAACTTGAGGCTTGATTCTGATCGTTAAATCTTTCGCCTTTAGAAAAGCTGAGTTTTTCCTTGTGGGGTTCTGGAGAACAGGAACTTTACAGGAGAAAAAGAAACAGGGCTGCATTTGAAATGAGCCATGGAAGAATTCTCAGGCACGCAAAGCGCGCTAGCCTGGGAATCAGGGCGCCCAACCCCCTGGTTCTGACGCTGACTGGCCGAATGTTTTGAAACATAATATGTAACCTCTACATTGCCTGATTTCCATTTTTCAAAAAGAAGTGACTACACTAAATTATTTCCCAGGTTGTCTTCTCACTATTTCTAAGATGAGGGTGAAGTCCAGAAAAACCTCATTTCAGGGAGGACGTTTACGTCAGCACAGATTTACCTTTGTGAGAGGTCTACCAGACGCTCCACAGAGTGGGCCCATTCCCAGGCTTCCTTCAGCCCTGCCCGTCTGACCCAGTCCTTTCACACTCGCTCTGGGTGTGTGGCCTTCAGCCCAGTGTCAAGGCTCTACTGCCATCTTGTGTTCAAAATGGTTCTTCCCCAACCAAGTCACTGGTGTCAACAGACTGAGGTAAACACTTTTATACAAACCAATTATCCTTCCGGATACATGGAAAAGAATACTCACAGAAAAGAAAAAACTTGATGAGCATGAGGATAAGAAGTAACTGAAATACAGAAATCTTAACAAGACATACAATAGCAAAACAGCTTACTAATTAATGCAGAGTCCTTGGGAAAAAATTCATTTATTGTCCTAAATGTTGCTGTTACAGACCAAGTCAGAACTGATCCATAGGTGAGCCTCCAGTGGGTTTTCTAAGGCAGGAAACTGCATGGGAGGAGATTCCCAATCCTTCTCCCATGGAGTGGCTAGTGGATTTGAACCACATGCCTTTGGGTTGGCTGTGCCGCCTTACCCACTAGGCCACCAGTGCTCCCTTCCTAATTGTAGGCATTGCTGTTAGGTGCCACTGAGTCGCCTGCAACTCACAGCAACCCTATATGTACAAGAGCTCTGAACCCTGCCCTTCACCATCTCCGACAGACTTAATCCCATTTCTCCAGTCACCAAGTGAATCCATCTCTTTCTGGATCTTCCTCTCCTGTGCTGCCCTCCACCCTCCCAAGCATGATTTCCTTCTCCAAGGCCACATGCTCCAAGTATGTGAGACAGAGCTTCAAAATCCTTGCCTCCAGGGAGCAGCTTGGTTTCACCCTCTCAAGAACGGGCTTGTTTGTTCTCCTGGCAGTTGATGGTATGTTCAACACTCTTCTCTAGCACAATTCAAAGGCATCAAATCTTCTATCATCCTCAGTCACTGTCTAGCTGTCTGATACACAGCAAGTAATGGCGAAACCCATGAACGGTATCAGGCACTCCTTAGTTTCCAGACCGACATCGTTGCTTTTCAGTACTCTGAGACCGACCCCTGACAACAGACTTTTCCAATGCAATTCATCTTTTGACTTCCTGACTGTTGGTGCAAGGAGTGTTGATTGTGGAACCAAGTAAGCTGAAGTTACCAACAATCTCAGGCTCTTCTCCATTTATTATGAAGCTGCCCACAGGCCCAGTGGTAAGAATCCTTGTTTTCTTGATGTTGAGCTTCAATCCATATTGAAGACTACAATCCTTGACCTTCAGCAGCAAACTTATACCAAACTTATATCCTCCTTAGTTTCAGCAGGCAAGGTCGTGTCATCTACATAATACAGGTTGTTGGTACGTCTTCCTCCACTCATGATGCTACATTCCTCCTCATAAAGTCCAGTCTCCTGAATGATCTGTTCTGCATATAGATGGAAAAGGTATGGAGACAGGATGCATCCCTGATGTACACCTTTCCTGATTCTGAAAAAAGCAATGTTTCCCTGTTCTAATGCTTTCTGGTTCAAATACAGATTTCACATGAGCACAATTAAGTGTTCTGGGATTCTCATTCTCCTCAAGGTTAGCCACAATTTGTTGTGATCCAGACATTCCTCTGGTACTCTTTGCTTTTGGCCAAGAACACTTTAACATTGGCTATGACGTCCCTAGTGCCGCAGCCTCTTCTAAATCCAGCTTGTACATCTGTCAGTTCTTTGTTGATGTACTACTGTTCCAGTTGGTTTTGGATAATTTTCAGCAGGATCTTGCTTGTGTGTGGTATTAGTGATATTGTTCGGTAATTTCCACATTCTGTTGGGTCATCTTTTTTCCAGTGGGACAAGTCAGCTGGCCAGGTTTCATCCTCTCCAGAACACAAGTATTTGTTCTCCTGGCACTCAGCAATATATTCAACACTCTTCTCCAGCACCACAACTCTAAGGCATTGATTCTTTTTCTATCATCCTTAGACACTGTCTTGCTCTCTGAAATATAGCAATTAAATTGGCCTCCAGATCTCTACTTTATTTCACAAACGTAATGTGTATAAAGCACACAGGAAACTACTGTGGAAGGCTGTTGGGGAATTTGGGAACACCATATAATCCACACAGTGTGTAAAGAACAGTAAATAAGTCCAGGCTGTTATCCTCAGGAAGTTTCTCTACAGAGGGAGACAGACAAGGCCACTCCTGCCATGGCAGCAGGAAGTGCTATGTGCTGTGAGAGGTTAGAACAGTGGATGTGCTGGGGGAGCAGCAGGGAGGAGGAGCTCCACAGCCCACATGTCTATGTGCTGCTGTATCAAAGGCCTCCTGCTCCACTCAGAGCAACACTACGATCAACAGACCTGAGCCTCGCCCCATCCTGTACCATCCTCACGGTCTACGCTGTTCAAGCCCACTCTGCTAGTCACTTTACCAGCCCTCCTTGTTGACGAACTTCGTTTCTTTTACTGACCCTCCAACTTCCCAGCATGATGTCTCTTCCCCAGGACAGGTTCCTTCTGAAAATATGTCCAACATTCATGAGACGACGTTTCTCAATCCTTGCCCCTAAGAACGCTCTGGCTACACTTCCTTCTACACAGGGGTGTTTTGCAGCCCACAGGCTATTCAAGACTGTCAAGCCAACAACTCCAAGGTACCGATTCCTCTTCTGTCATCACCTTCAGATGCACAGGAATCAACGGAAAACATTATGGCTTAGATCAGGTGCACCTTAGCCTTTAACACCTTTGCTCTTTAGAATTGTGGAAAGGTACCTGACAGCAGGTTTTCCCAACGCAACATGCTTTTTGACTTCTTGACTGTTGTCACCAGGGGTGTTATGAATCCATGTAAAATGAAATTGTTGGCAACTTTAATCTTTTCTCCATCTATCATGATGTTGCTGTTGGTCTAATGATAAAGACTTCTGTTTTCTTGATCTTGAGGTGTGACCCATATTGAAGGATGCAGGCTTTGATCTTCTGTAGTACGTGCTTCAAACCTTCTTCACTCCTGAAAACAAGGTTGTGTTATCTGCATAATGCAGACTGATCAGTCTTCCTCCAGTCTTGATGCCACATTCATCTTCATATAATCCAGCTTCTTGAAGGATCTGCTCAGCATATAAACTGAATAGAAATGGAGAAAGATTACAGCCTCCACACATACCTTTCCACATTTTAAACTACCCAGTGCTCCCTTGCTCTGTTTTGACAACTGCTTCTTGGTCTATATGTGTGTTCTGGGATTCCCAATCTTCTCAAAGTTAGCCAGAATTTCTTTTGATCCACACAATCAAATGTCTTTGCATCATCACTAAAACACAAGTAAACATCTTTCTCTGCTTTCAGTCAAGATCCATCTAACACGAGCAATAACCCTTCAGCCAGAATCTCTTTTGAACCCAGTTTCAATTTCTGGCAGTCCTCTGTCAATGTACTGTTACAGTCACTTTTAGACCTTCAGAAAGATTCTACTTATATGTAATATTAAGGGAATTGTTTGATAATTTCCACATTGTTAGGTTACCTTCATTTGGAATTCAATTACACTTTCATTAATGTAATAATAATTACAGGTGTCACTATGTGAACAAAATAGGTCATCCAATTCCCTTATTTTTAACCAGCTCTGAATTTTCATGTATCCAGAAGACCTTACAACAAGGTTTTTCTACTCTGGCTACTGATCAGAGGTTAGTTCACCTGGCCTGATGTGGAAACAAAGGGTATTTATACAAGACTTCTTAGGGATGAAAACTAGCTCTGTAAGACCTAACATGCGACGGTCAAGAAAAATGCTTTTTCTTTTCTTAAGAGGATAAAGTAAGGTGAATTAGATTTTAAACAAGAGTTATATTCCTTGAACTTGAGAGAAATCCTTTTAAAAATCTCTCAACTCCACATGATACAGAAACTGGAACTTCCTAAGCACTTATTATATAAATGGAACGTATGGGAGATAGAAATTGTGTACTGAGTGGAACTAGAAATGAAGCAGCCGTCAGCCAGAAGCAACATGATTCCGGACAACACAGGGACGCTGCCAGCACCAGCGGTCCAGTGAGTCAGCAGAACTCACAAGCCTCTCTGTCTCCCCACACCCCATGCTGTGACAAGTCACACACCCAATGACACTGCACTCTGAGTTTTCAAATCCCACGGCTGTGCGTTAGAATCAGCTGGAAACCGTTCTAACGAGGCCTCGGCAGCCTCAATAAATGAGTGAGTCATCCTCGACAGGCAGGAGGTGAGGCTGGAACTCAAAGCTTTACAGTGTGGAACAACTTCCCAGGTAAACAGGACACTAAGCAAGGGTGGAAGTCCGTGGGTTACACCTTCAAAGGGACAAAAAAACCTTTCAAGTTAATGAAATACAAAAGGTGTAATATACAAAAGAAACAAAGACCAATCTGTTAGAAGATATCCAACAACTTAAAGGAATTTCTTACCCATCAGACTGGGTTCTTAGCTCCAGGACCTTGAACCGCTGTCTTCCGATGGCTTTGACTTTTACCATCTCAATCCCAAAGTCCTGCTCTTCTCGGTAGGCATATATCTCTGCTGTTGTTCCAAACTGTGCTTCCCGTTCTTGTACATTACTTTACATGTAGATTTTAAAAAGAGAATAAGAACATTTTATTTTGAAATATGCAAAGTTGGCAAAATCAATACACAAGAACACTTTATAGCAATCACTTGCAAAGCTATTATTATCCTTCTTAAGCCATGTGAGGAAGCAGACATTCAGCAAAGCCTCAGGAAGGTGCACTTTGGATCAAGAACAGACCCCTTGTCACCAGCAGCACTCCAGGACTGAACGGCGTCCAGATCCGGCTTCTGTCAGCAAAGGTTCTCCCAGTCGTCAGACTGTCCTACATGCACGTACCGTGGCTGGAGCACCCTGCATGAATTTCTACCCTGGCTAGTGATTTCTCCATGACTCACGCGGCACCTGATAAATGTTTCTGTCTGAACTGACCACTGGTCAGTAACGTAAGTTATGACTTCTAAAAATGAGCCAACCACAAGCCATTCTTTTGGAAAACTGTTTATATGGAAATGTAAAAATATGCTCTTTAGATTTAAAGAGAGCTTCTGAAAATAAGATTCTTGAAATGCTTATCATTAAATATTAGTGAATTAAAAAAAGGTCTAAACCAGAAAGCTCCACTGTATGGGACAGTGCATGTCTATTTTAGATAGGACTGAAAAGAACAAACCTCCAAGCCGCACTTCCGGGTCTTTAATCAATAAAATCCTGTCGCACATATACACCTCGCCTCCTGCACAGAGTAACAGCACTGACTTCTGGGGTGACAGCACGTGAGAGCATTACGGTACGCCAAGGGACTCTAATATTTTACCTGTATGCAAGAACTGCAAAGGTTCTGTCTTTCTGAATTAAATTCCGGACCATACTGACTTCCTGAGGGCGGAAAAGCTGAAGAGGTAAAGTCTGGCCCGGGATCAGGATCACCATCACGTGTGGAAGGACGGGGAGGACCTGGCAGCTGTCGTCGTCATGCAGGGTTCTGCCGTGGAATTCCTCCATCTCCGCGCCCAGATACTAGTTAGGAACATGCACACAGACAGCGCCGTCAGCGGGGGTGATAAAGATGCAGGCTCAACGGTAAAGAGAAGACTCTACCGGAGGGGGCAGATACTTATTTACACAATTCACTTGGTGCAAAAGCCCCATAAGTATGTGTCAGAAGCAGAAGTAAAATTGCCAATGTTTTATGAAAAATCTCTCATGAAAACACAAATTCAAAAGCAGTTTAAAGTTTATCACGCTTTAGGGTAAATTTATCTGTTTCAAAATTATTACAAAAGCTAAATATAAAATGCCAACATGTTTAATCATATCATGCTAGATACTAGCAAAAGAGAGTAAGAAATCTCTGCAAAAATCAATGATTACCAAAAAACATAAGAACAGTAACAATTTATAAAACATTTACACCAGCCATAGTATCACTTTTAGAAATGACTTCACTCCTAAGTTTTGGTGTGGTGTGAGGTAACATCAGGCCCATGTTTGCAGAAATTTGTATCTGGAGCTACGGGTCTTGTGTCTGTTAGGTTAGCAGGTTACTAAATAACGTACGGTGTGCGATGTCGGCAGACTGGTGTCAAAGTTGATGATGCTTGGTTTTTTGGCTTCGTTGCTTTCTTGCTGGTCTTCAACTTCCATATCAATTTCATCTTCTTCCTCACTCTCTGCTGTAAAAATAGGTAAGAGAAAAAAAAGATGCATGAAAATGGGAAAGCTACACTGCACTTTTAAGCATTAGTTCCTGAAAAGAGGTGTTCTGAATACCAGGCATACGTGGTGGTCACCAAGGCCCTGTGACCAGGCAGTCAGAAGGCTATGGCCACTAATTTTATTTTCCCTAATTTTTAAAAGTTTGCATGAAAATGGGAAAGCTACACTGCACTTTTAAGCATTAGTTCCTGAAAAGAGGTGTTCTGAATACCAGGCATACGTGGTGGTCACCAAGGCCCTGTGACCAGGCAGTCAGAAGGCTATGGCCACTAATTTTATTTTCCCTAATTTTTAAAAGTTTCATATTTCAGAAAAGTTTTAAGGATAGTATAGATTCTCTGCATCCCTCATAGCCACTTTCCACTACAGCTAACATCTTAAATTGTGGCAGTAGAACTAAGAAACCAGTATTAATACATTCTATTACATTGCTGATAACCAAACTCCACCTTTTATTTTGGATTTCCTTCTTTTTTTTTTTTTCAAGAAAGCAGTACCATTTATAATGTTATGTGTTGTCAAGTCGCCTGTGACTCATAGCGACCCTATGTACAAGGGCTCCAAACCCTGCTCTATCCAGTGCTAGTTTTATTGTATCTGACACACCTATGCCCATTTCCCCAGTCACTGAATCGATACATCTAATCGAGGGTCCTTCATCACCTGTGCTGTCCCTCCACCCTCCCAAACATGATGTCTCTTTCCAAGGACCAGTCCTTCCTTGTAACATGTCCAAAGTATGTCAGATGAAGCTTCAGAAACTTTGCCTCCAAGGAACAGCCTAGTTTCACCTTTTCCTGGGCGAACATGATTGTTCTAGCAGTCCATGGTATATTCAACACTCTTCTCCAGCACCACAGCTCAAAGGCATCAACCTTTCTATCACAGCCAACTACAAACTGAGATACTCGGGAGTGGACCTAACTAGAGATACAAAAGACCTATACATAGAAAACTCCAGAACATTTCTGCAAGACATAATAAAAGACCTAAATAAAGGAAAAATGTGCCCTGTTCATGGACAGGAAGACTCAATATTGTGAAAATGACAAACCTACCAAAAGCAATCTGCATGTTCAACTAAATCCCAATCCAGATACCAAGTTCATTTTTCAAGGAGGTTGAAAAGAAACTGTCAAGTTTGTTTAGAGATGCAAGAGACGTGGAATAAACAAAACACTTCTGAGCAACAAAAATTAAGTGGGAAGCATAGCACTCCCTGACTTCAAAACCTACTACACAGCGGTAGTAACCAAAACAGCATGGTACTGGTACAATGAAAGGCACACAGACCAATGAACAGAACTGATAACCCAGAAACAGGCCCAGCTATCTATGGTCAACTGATTAATTGACAAGGAAATCAAACCTATCAAACAGGTAAATGACAATCTCTTTAACAAATGGTGCTGGCAAAACGGGACTTTCTCCTTCATTTTTACCCAATGTCCTTCATTTTCCACTTAAGAATCGCATCCAAGATAACCACATGACATCTCCTTGTCACCCTTCCTGAGTCTTCTCAGGGCTGGGAAAGTTCCTTAAGACTTCATTTTGTGGTGATCTTGACGGGTGATGAAATACTGGTCCTGGGTCCTTCAAGCGAGATCTGCTTGCTGGCTTTTCCATGATTCGACCAGAGTTGTGTGGTTTTGCGGTGAAGAGCAGAACAGTGACGTGCCATCCTTAACACAGTTCCCAGACCCTCAACACGATCTGTCCTTCACAATGCTAACTTCTCTATGCAGTCCTCTTGAGGGAGTCCTGGTTGGATTAAGAACTCGGTGTTAATTGACAGGCCAGCAGTTCCACTCACTAGTTGCTCTGAGGGAGAAACACAGTGTAGTGCTGTAAGGATGTGCAGCCTCGGACACCCCGAGAGCAATTCCACTCGGCCCTGCAGGGCTGCAGAGCACACGACTGACTTAGGCTGTGAGTTACACTCTGTAGCAGCCGTGGTCCCGAGTAGTGGTCCCGCGCAGTGGTCCCGTGGACTAAGGGCTGGGCTGCCGACCCAGAGGCGAGCGGTGCAAGACCACCAGCCACTCTCTGAAGGCCGAGGCAGTCTGTGCTCACAGCGACACTTGGGCTCCACTCCTAGCGGACACTCCACTGCTTCCAAATGCACTGGAGGAACCAGCCAGACTTTCTCCCAGGGAGAAGCCACTGGAGAAGCTTGGTCTCTGGGCCCCCGCGCACACGGCAGAGCACCCTGCACACAGCATCGCCGGGAGGTCTTCGGAGGCCGTCCTAGCCGTGCTCCTGAGCTCCAGGGTCAGCATCTATGTGACTGCGTCTCCTCTGCTGGTTTACACTGTACTCGGCAAGGAAGCCAGGTGGTGTGGTGGGCTGAGAGTTACCCCACGAGAGAACGGCGGAGGCCGTCCGGCGACCCTCAGGCCAGTCCTAGACTGTCCTCCACAGTGCCAGGAGCTGGCTCTCAGGTCACCTGACTCTCCAGAAACAAATTCCAACAGTGACCACAGGGATGATGTGGGGTCAGGGGAGCAGGGTGTGGTTGGGGGCAGGGCAGCCGTGGGATGGCATGGGGTCAGGGTCAGCAGGAAAGGGTGGGGTTGGGGATAGGGCAGCCGTGGGGATGGTATGGGGTCGGGAGGGGTCGAGGTCAGGGTCGGGATGGCCATGGGGATGATGTGTGATTAGGGTCACGGTGACCATGGGAATGGCATGGGGTCACGGTCGGAGTCAGGGTAGCCGTGGGGATGGCGTGGGATCAGAGTCGGGGTAACCATGGGCATGGTGTGAGGACAGGGTCAGAGCTGGAAAGTTTTAACCCTCTGAGTCAGAGATGACTCGGGCATCGAACACGCTCTTTATCACGAAGCTTAAAGGATCAACTATTGGGACAAAGTCTAGAATTAATATTTCTAAAAATTGTTCTTTCAACTGAAAACACTTTCTAATCTTTGAATGACGCCCTTATCCTTAGCTGCCTTCGCCTCTAGAAACACAGCTAAAACCTCCCGCCACCTGCAAAGCAGTATGTTACCTGTTAATGTTTTAGTGGCCAAGCTAGAGCCTTAAATAGTAAGCTATTTTTGTAGCACTTAGGAAATTATTCTTCCCCCCCCAAAGCCTTGCACTAAATGGTTTATGGACAACCTGACGGCTCTATAAGTAAGACTCTTAACATCTGGAAAAGCATTACCATTCTCTCACCATCTCTGGCCCTCACACTTCTGATTCCTGCCCCACCTCCACCAAACCACACACTGACCTTTCAGAGCAACCAGGGAAAAGTCAATGATTCAGCTCCTGCAGAGCCTCAGGTGCTGCCCTCTTTGCTGACCATCTTCCCTAAAATGCGGGGTGTTGAGACAGCATTTCTGAAAAGCCAGTTCATGCTTCTGTTGCAGGCCGACACACTTGGGTTTCTCCACTGCCAGCTGCAGGAACCCCACGACCCCAGAAGTAGAAAACCTACTGTACAAGCAGGCATTCCGCCTCATCTTCTGCGGCCCGCCATTGCCAGGGGATAACTCACCTGCAAGGCACAGCTTTCTTTGGACAAGTGCCTGAAACTTGCAAGTGCAACTGGACCGCCTGCAGCAGAAACGTCCAACCTCACTGGCAGAAGATGCCAGTTCACAGCTACACAGATCCAATCTCTCCCTGACTTCTGTCTTAGGCTCTGTTTTTCATAATGTGGCATTACGCATTTCCAGATGCTGACAAAGGCCAAGTGAAGCGTTACAACAGACTCATGGCTGGAGGTGATCACTTTGTACTTAACCACTTAATCAAAGCTGGAAGATGCTACCTGATCGACCGAGAGGATTCATGTCAACTCAAAAGAAGATGAGCCAGTGGAATTCAGAAATTAGCAAACAGTCTCATTAGTATCGCAGGCGAGCAAAATTAACTGGGGGAAAAACCCCACAAAACACCAAAAAACCCAAACCCAAACAAAACCAACAACAGACCAAGCACAAATACAACAGTTACACAGCCAGGTCAGTTTAGAATGGGACATGGAACGAAGTGCATCACTGCCGGCACCACATGGATCAGAGAATACCAGCAAGACACTAACTTTTCACTGGCTCTGCGAAAGTATTCCACTGTGAGCCAGTAAATAACGGGCACCCTCAACATCAAGGGAATTCCGCACCACTTAGAACAAGAACACCTTAAACCTTCTCCTAAAATCTACGAGCACGTGGAGCCCTGGAAAAAGACCAGGAGTCAGTCATCTGACACTTGACTAAGAGGATCCTTCAGGGTTTAAAATCAGTAAAAGTGTGTGTCAGGGTTGTAGCCTTTCAGCAGCTTTACTGACAAGGGGAGTGAAACGCAGAGCTGCAAATGGAGGTTTCTGCAAACTGGTTTTCTAAATCTAAATTGGTCAAAGGGCTTCAGAACCAGCTCAATACGCAAAAGCTGTTTCTTCCCAGCTCATGCTCGGCTGAAGGCTTTCCTCCAAGAACACTGTCTATCAGAGCACCCTCCTCAACCTGCCCGCTGGGCAAAGTCCAAGAAGTCGGACACATGAAGAACAAAGCAGGGAGGAAGACTTAGGAATAACCTCCAAGATCCAAATGACACAAACTTGCTTTCTGAAAGTTAAGAGGACTTGAAGCATTGACTTACTAATGAACAGCAAAGCCTTCAGTCAGGATAACAATGTAAACAACCCAAATCCTCACAAGTGGGTCAAGAAGCAGCATGATGATAAACAAAGACACAACTGACAGGGTCAAGCATTTACACGGATCCACAATCAACTCTTTGGAAACAGCAGTTAGAAAATCAAACACCTGCTGCATTGCGGCCAATCTGCGCACAAGTTCAAGTTCATTAACAAGCAAAGATGTCACTCTGTGACTGAAGTCATGGTGTTGTTGTCTGTCCTTTCCTAAACGTACAAAAGCTGAAGATGGTGCAGGTGAAAGATCAGAGGATGCTCTGAACGAGGGTGTTGAAGGATATGAAGTAGGTAACAGATTAGAGAATAAACAATGAACACCGTGCCTGGGAGAGCTGAGGGTCTGCAAAAGAGAGGTGCTCACGGACCCACACAGCGGCTCGGACAGCAGGGGCCAGGGTGGGAGAGGGCAGAGGTGGACGGGCCAAGAGTGGCCTGGAGGCTTCAACAACACTCAGGGGACAAACGAATGCGGCTCCAACCGCTGCTTCTCAAACCGAGCAGGAGCGGCTTGTCGCTGGGCTCGTGGACGGCCGCTCAGGGTCAGCTGCGCGCTGGAGGGTCAGCTGCGCGTCCTTTCCCCGTGCATCGCAGTACCACACCCCGCCGACAGGCTCCCCGGGCAGCACCAATGCGTACGTGGCCGCGGTCCGGGGGCACAGCTGCTCAGCCAACGCAAAGGCTGGAGGTTCGAGTCCGCCCGGCTCAGCAAGGGACCGGCCGCCCCTCCCAGTGGACTCTGCCGGAGGGCCAGCGAGGGGTCCGGCGCCGACTCGCCGCAACGGCACCGAGGCCCCGGAGGCCCAGACCCGGGGGGACGCGGTGATGACCAGGCCAGCACGGAAGGCGCAGCGGACGCCCGAGCGGCCGGCACCCGAGCCCCGCTGCCCAGCACCCGAGCCCCGCTGCCCAGCACCGAGCGGCCAGCACCCGAGCCCCGCTGCCCAGCACCCGAGGACGCCTCCCACGCCAGCCTTGTGCTGACCGGTCTGCGCGGGTCCACGGGCGCTGCCCTGCGGGGACACCGCCGGGTCCCCCGGTCCATCGCTCACGCAGGGCCCTGCAGGCGGCCTTCGCCGGGGGTTCGAATCCCTCCGCACACCGTCCGCGCAGGGAGGCCCCGGAGTGGACACTGGAACACACCGTCCACGCAGGGAGGGATGCGCGGCTGCAGGGGCGGCCCCGGAGCAGTCACTCCCGCACACCGTCCACGCAGGGAGGCCGGGGCCGAGGACGCGCGGCTGCAGGGGCGGCCCTGGAGCGGACACTCTGCACCCGTCGTCCTCCGCCCGCCCCGGCCCCGGCCCCGCCGGCTCGGGCTGCTGCCGGCCGCGGACACTCACCGGGCAGCAGCGGCAGGTGGTTCCCCATGTCGTGCGCAGCGTCCCGCCGGCCCTCCTCGCCGGCCATGTCTGTTTACCCGCAGAGCACGCTGGGACAGGGCGGTGCCGCGCGCGGGGCACGCCGGGAACTCGGGGCGAGAGCGCACTCGGGGCGAGAGCGCGCTCGGCACGCACGGCGCTCGGCACGCACGGCGCTCGGCACGCAGCGCGCCCCCTGGCGGCCGTGGGGGGCCGACGCAGCGTCCTCTGTAGCCACGGCGCCCCCTGGCGGCCTACACGTGCACACGTTGCTAAATGTGGCAACAGGGACCCTGGGGCTCAGCTGGGAGCCTGAACTTGGCCAAGACCCCCAGTGACCTTGGTGGGCGTCAGGGGTCTCACCTCACCCCGCTCCTCTCTTTTCAACAGGAAACTGCATGTGGGGAACTGAGGCAGGGAGGCCACTTTGCTTCTACATGAAAGTGATTGTGAGTCAATACAATCTATTGATAAAGCTTAACCTCTAATTTTTTAGCAAATATACACACTGTATGGAAGACTGGGAAATGTCATCTGTCATTTCGACAACGCTTGCCGTTTTAAGTGCCTTTACTTTAGTTGTCATACATATTCTAAAATTCATGTGATCTAATCAGAAACATAGAAAACCCAGCCACAGAGCTTCCAGGATCACAGGGACCCACACGCCACCCAGGACAGCGAGCTGATGGACACGACACTGTACGAGGAAGAGCAAACGATAAACCAGCAAGTCTATTCACTGAAGCGGTAAAGGAAGCTGGAAGTGACCCAGGGCCAGCACCTCCCGCGGGAGCTCACTGCCAGTGCTTCTGGCCCAGAGCAGCCGGTGGGCTCTGCCTGCTTGCCCCTTAGCGGCCAGTGCAAATCCTTAATTGCAAATCGCTCTCCCAGTTCAACAAACTGACAGGTGCTGCACCTCTGACAACATAGAGACATGAGGGGGCCCGCGGGCCCTGCAGATTTCAGGCTCCTGCACCCTGATGGCATCTGACAGCAGCAACAATCAGAAACAAACACCTAAAATGATGATTGCACAGTTGGGGTAAATAGAAAACAAAACGTGTGAGCTTGGTGAGTAAGCGACAGCTTCAGAATATGAAGCAGCGTCTCCACTCTGACTGAAGCTGGGTGTCACTGCGTGTTTAAAACACACGCACCATGTCCACTGGTGAGGTGGTGACTGGTGAGGCTTTTGTTTTGGAGAGTGAACACACACTTTCTTGTTATCTTTTGGTAAGATTATTAAATCAAAGCAGGGACATCTGATCTGTTGGTAAAGAGCCTGAACCACCTCTAAGAACTCTCTGCAGCCCGTCACCCAGACCTCCCCCTCCTGCACAGAACACTGTGTCACCTTTCCCCTTTGTCACCTCACCTTTGTGGCTCCCAGAGCCACTCAGTCACTGTAAAGAAACTGAGTTTCACAGACTCTTGGGTCTCTGTCACATCTGGTTTTGTGGACACTTTGAACCAACACTTCACGGTTTCTGTTTCTATTCTCGTCCAGGGCTCCAGGCTTCTGAGCCAGGCAACTGTTGACAAGTCATTCTGGGAACTATCCAAACTGTCATTGCTTTGTAACCAGCATGAAACCTCCTAAGAATGTGCTTTAACCAATCAGCAGATTTCAGCAGGGTGCTCTGGTGTCCTAGCTTATAGGGAAGTGGCACTGTTAATCCAAAGGTGGGGGTTCGAATCCACCAGCTGGCCATAAATGGGCAATCTTCTCCTGTGAGATTGACAGCCTCAAAAACACACTGGTCAGTCAGCTGTGGATCAGTTCTGACTCCAAAGCCACATGGAGCGTGAGGGACTTTGTTTAGCTGTGTGGTGACAATCAGGCATATTAACAAGAATGCTTCACACTGTCCCTCCTCCTCAAAGACCCACCGCCCTGGGGTCGTGCTGACACCTCAGGTTCCTGAGAGGTCATCTTTCCTGGAGGAGTCTGACCATCGTCATCCTGTGGAGAGGCCAGTGGCTTTGAACCTCTCACCCCTCAGGTACCAGCCAGATTAGGTACTCACTGTGCCATCGCCAAGCAGAGTGATTTTATTTCCCTTCAGCACTTCAGCTCTCTAATGATGTGCGAGGTACCCACTGGATACAACAGAAGGCTAACATTTCAAGACATGGTAAGCAAACCACAACATGGGCACAGATGTGGATCAAAGACGACACTCAGACGGCAAACACACACATGAAGAAATGTTCAAAATCCTTAGCTAGCAGGGAGATACAAAGAGAACAACTAGGAGATACCATCTCACCCCAGTAACAGCAGCAAAGTTCAACAGAGCAGCAAACAACAAATGTTGGTGAAGTTGTGGAGAAACTGGAACCCTTATTCACTCTCTTGGTGGGAGTGTAAAATGGTGCAACCACTATGGAAGGCAGCATGGCGCTTTCTCAAAAAGTTGGAAATAGAAATACCATTTGACCCAGCAATTTCACTACTGGGAATATACCCCAAAGAAACCAGGGCTGCCACACTAGCAGATCTATGCAAAAAAAAAACCCCTATTCTTAACTTTAGTTTGTTTTAGCATTTTTGTTCAACTAGCGCACCTCAAGGTCATTCTAGAGAAAGCCTGTTGGACCCTATCCCATCTTACAGTCTTTCGCTGCTTGACCCAGCGATTTGTGATTAACTCATTTTCAGAATGTGAATGATGCTGACGTCGTCAATCTTGGTTTTCTCTCTGCACGTGGGAGGGGGGCTGACGGACTTTAGAATGATGAGAGGAGCAGGTGAGGACGTAACTGCCAATCGGACCACTGTGGTAACACAGACGTTGTAGAAAGCCCACTGTCCTGAGAGTCCCATCTCTGAGGACACACTGCCCTCCTCGGGCTTGTGTGGGGCAGATCCAGAGGCCACAGAACAGGGCCCTTGGTGGCACCATGGGTAAAGCATGCAGTCCCTTTCACCAGAAGTTGAGTGGCTTGGCCCCATCAGCCGCTCAGTGGGGCTAAGAGGTGGCATCTGCTCCTGTGTCAGCCGTAACCCTGCATGACAGTTCTCGTCTGGCTGCAGCGTTGCCCTGACCTGGAGCCAGCTTGCTGATGGACGAGGCCAGGCTTGAGGTCTGTGGCCACAGCGGGGCTCAGAGGCCTCTGGGGCACACAGGGCTTGAGTCTCCCATTGACGTTCACATCACATGTGGCCCCCTTGAGAACAAGGGGCTGGAGCTAGAGATCTCTCTGTCCCTCGAGCTCCAGGCTCCATTGATAAAGGCAGTCATTTCATGACATGTCTTCCTACTATTCCAGTCACACTGTCATTCGCTTGGAGGAGGCCCTTTGAATCCAGTCATTGCAGTCTTCACGCCCACGCCCCCCTGCAGACCACACACAATTCTCTAGGCTTATCAAGGGAGAAATAGTTCCAATCCATTGGAAACCTGGATGGCAGTGAGTCCCCCACAGTGAGGGCACACACGGGCAAGCTCTCAGCCACTGAGAGGCAAGTGGCTCCACGCTGCCAGAGACACCTGGTAAGAGGCTGGACAATGAACTTCTAGAAGAACAGCCACCGAAAATCTGAGGACACAGTTCTGCTGTGGCACACACAGGGTCTCCAGGAGTAAAAACGGGCTCCACAGACACTGTTACGTGTCTCAGGACAGGCGACGATGCATTCAGGGATGCATCTTGGTAACTCACCACTAAAGGCTGAATCTGACGGCAGTTGACAGAGAACATGCACTTGAGCATCTATTATCCTGTAAATCCCAGGGCTTCAGAGGGATGAAAGATGGACCCTACCCGCTCTGCGCAGACCCAGGGGAGAAACCCAGCGAGACCTGCCCTTTGAGCAGCAATAAAACCAGATGTCGCCAAAATATTTCACAGCCCCTTCAAATGTGGACAATTTTATTAACTGCCCACTTTCATATTTCAATAACATGGTGAATAATTTGGGATTTGAAAAATGCCTTTATATGCATCGCTCACTGCCATGGTCATATTTCCAGACACATCAGAGTGTGTACAAATCCCAAACATGCCAGATTATTTGCAAAAATGATTATTTGTGACAATACTTAGTGTTGCAATTTACTGGGACTTCCTGCCATCTCATCTGTCTTGGGGCTGACAGGAAAAGCAGGGGAAGTTTTAAAAATGGAGGAGCGAGGGGAAATTTATGGCTTTAAACTTGGGCACAAAACTGTTTTCATGATTCATCTGGCAGCTTCTCCCGATGCCCTGTGCTGTTTGCATTGCATTTAGAGGAGCACAGGGATACAGACACTTTTAATGGGCATAAGGAGGCTTGGGTTCAGCACTCCCTTGCTCTTGCCTGTCACCTGGGCTGGGCTGTGCCAATGTCACTCTCCTTGGCCTTCTAGCATCTCAACATCAAGAAAACAACAATCCTCCCCACTGGAACAATAGGCAACATCGAGAGAGAGAGACAGAGACAGAGACAGAGACAGAGACAGACACACACACACGACTGGCGGTTTTCATTTTACTTGGATCCACAATCAACACTGATGGTACCAGCAGTCAAAAATTCTAAAGCTGTACAGCACTGGGCTTCTAGGATCTCTTTAAAGAGATGAAGTTCAAAGTTATAAGTGTATAGACTAAAGCACACCTGATGCAAGCATGGCGTTTCCAATTGCTTCCTACACCTCTGACATTTGGACACTACATAAGATTGGCGTGAACTCAGTCCCATAAGGATAAATATTGTATAAAACCATTACTGTAGAAGGAGTATAAGGAGATCCAGGAGGGTGGGAGAGGCTGGAAGCAGAGGGATGTGGATGTGCAGGGGGAGGGAGGATAAATCATTGGGTTGTACAATTTGATGGGTGGGGGAGGTGAGGGAAATGGAAAGAATTTGTTCAAATCTGTAATTTGCAAATAAACTAGTAGAAAAACAAAGGATGAAGAAGAATGGATGCCCGTGAATGTGTGCTGGTGGAGGGTCCTGAAGCGAGGACTGCCAGGTGACCAAACGAGTCTCTCTGGGAGGAAGTGCAACCACAGGGCTCCTCAGAGGCAGCGATAGTGAAGGTTGGTCTCATAAAAAGGCCCAAATAGGGCTTATTGTCGGGAGGGACC